TGATTCAGGTCGCATTTAAAAAATATTTGGCTCGAGAACTGTTGAAGTCAATATACTTTACTTGAATGGCTTGAAAAGGTGCAATACTACGTCTCTGGTCGTCAGAGTTCCGCAACAAGGAACCACTGTGAAAATGAAATGAAATAGTTATGGAGGCTGGAAAATTTCCTTACCTGGGAAACTGCCTTGTACTGAAAAAACAGAAGGTTTTCAATCAGCATATGCTCCCCTTACTAAGGTGTGATACGAAGTATGGATCCTGAGCAAGAAGGCTGTTTAAAAACTACTGACTACCCAACCGCAGTCTGGAATTGTCCACGCTGGAATAAGAGGAGCAACTAAAAAGACAAACGAACGGGTAAGAGCGCCAACAGGAGTCAGCAGTGTCATTGTACGAGTGAAGAGGTTGAAGTGACCATGGGAAACAGGGCAATTTATAAGAAGAGCCACTATTGCTGAATCAGACAAACATTAGAGTGAATTCCAAAAAGCAGTAAACGGTTCAAATCAGAATACCTGGATTCGGTGAAAAAAATTCGTTAGATCAGGGTAAATAAGAACTGTAGAGGACATGAGTTGGTGGCAAAGCGTTAGAGGCCTTTAATCATCTGTTCTTCTAGAAAGGCCTATGATATCTGCAACATGTAATACATACATTGGGCTACGTTGACGGCAAATATATAGGCTACCTGCTGTGTAGTTTGCAATGCAGATCCTGAAGAACCTTATAGGCTCAATTTTTAACCAATTAATCCAAAGGTAGCTTTACGATACTCTCGGACTGAAATAACCTCAGGTTTCCGCTTGAGCTGAATCGTAGCGAAAAGGTTGAACGGAATGAAAATCTTTTATAGTCACTCGATTAAAGTCGCGGCTCTTCCATAAGTTGTAAAGATAGCGAGCAGGAGGGAAAATTTATGATCAGTTTTGTGAGTGGTAATGTAATTTGCTTCCAATTGGTTCGACGAGGGATCAAAATTTTGAATGGCATGTGGAGGTCATTGTTTGATGCCGCCTTGAGCTGGAAGAAACGAATCTTTGCTACAGAATGACAGCTGTGGCGTTGCCTTAAAGGCTATACTTTACAGAAGCATTGAAAGTATGCCATTGATTCATAGATCTGTAGACCTATATCTGAGCAGAACGAAAGAGAATGTTGTGTATTGTCGTTGACGTCAGCATCATTACTGCCTTACTGTAGCACCTGTCGCCTGCACAGCCTATGTAGGGCAGAGTCCATATTCATTTCGATGTTACCAGCTAGAAGTGCCTTCTTCAGGTAGGCTCATTGGCGAGTAAACGTAAACGTTTAACAGCCCACGATTCGTTCGCACAGAGTACGGTGTTCATTTGTTCAGGTATGAGTGATGAAGGTGAATCGTTTTGAGTTCTGCTGATCTGTAACATTCGTTGTATAGAGAGTCATACTGCCTCATTGAAATCATCTCCTTCAGAAGGATAATAGCCGTTGATCTAACGGCAATTTTTAACTGTAATTCAAGTACTCTACTGACTGAACTCAATTCCTAACTTTTCAGTGTAGTCCATTGAAACTGCTAAGTTGATTGATGCGACTAGAAAACACCGTCATCCTCGATGAACAGATCATGCGACATAAAAATGATCTCTCTTGCCTTTGGTACGGTTAGCACAGAGAGTCAGCACCAATCCTCATATCCAAGTT